TGACAATGCCAGCGATGTCACAATGGTGATGATGACACTATTGTGATATTAGAATTACGGTGATATCAGAATGGCAGTGAGATCACAGTTGTCATGATGTCACAATGGTGGTGATGTCACAATGGAAGTGATGTTATGGTTGGGGTGATGTCACAATTGTGGTGAAGTTACAGTTGTGGTTATGTCACAAGTGCAGTGCTGTCACAATGGTGGTGGTGTCAAAATGGTGGTGATGTCACAATGGAAGTGATGTTACAGTGGTGGTGATGTCATTATGGTAGTGACGTCCCAATGGTGGTGTGTCACGATGACAGTGATATCACTCTTGTGGTGATGTCACAAAGTCCGTGCTGTAACAATGGTGGGGATTTCACAATAATGTGGTTGTCACAATGTTGGAAATGTCACGATGGCAGTGATGTCAAAATGGTGGTGGTGTGCCGGAGACCAGCTCCAGTCGAGTTTGGGGGTCCTTGAAAGAGGGATGAAGAAGCCGGCAAAAATAACAAACACAGACAGAGACCTCAGTGCATCAATATGCACGTTCTCTCTCTGTGGGCTGTCAGCGTGTTGCAGCTGGAGCCCAGTAGAGCATGAGACAAGCATCAGAAGTTTTTATTCATATATATATTTAATATATATAAATTATGAATGTATTCAGAAGTTTTTATTCATATATATATTTAATATATATAAATTATAAATTTATTCTGAATTATTAGAGCAATGGGAGTAACTAACATTACCTGACACTAAAATATATTATGAAGCTATAATATTGCAATGATAGACAAAGACAAGGGAATCACCACAATGTGCACAAAATCCATAGATGGATACTTATGGAAGTAAAAATTGTTAAAAGTGATATTTAAGAGTAATAGAGAGGCTGATGTAAATCCAACCACACCAAGAATAATACTAAATGTGAAAGGATTATACAATCCAATCAAAAGATAGACTGTCATATTGGATTTTAGGAAAAAAAACCACACCAAACTATGTACTGTATACAGAAGGAACACTTTAAATCAAAGATACAAACAAGCTGAAAGTTAAACAATGGAAATATATACATACATGCAAATAGAACTACAAGACAGCTATACTGGCTGGCCATACTATCAGATAAAGTAGACTTTATATATATATATATATATATATATTTAACCTGAAGATCAATTTTAGAATTTTTTGTTTGGTCCCTTCCATTAACAACAACAAAAAAAACATGTTGAAATTTTGATGGGATAACATTATATTTATAGATTAATTTTGGGAAAATGATCATTATGAGTTTTCTTATCTCCGAACATGTTATGTGTAATTAAGTCCTTTTATGTCCCTCTCTAAATTTGTATTTTCTCATAGATTTTACACATTTCTTCTTTAAAATATGCATGCATGTCATATATCATACACATGATGTCTATGTAAAAGTTATGCGGTATTCATAGTAGTCGTTAAACTGGAATGTAAGACTTAGAAGCTGGCTGGTTCCTGGAACTACTCCCCACACCTTCCCATTCATATCACCTCCTCTTGCCCCTTCCCCTTGGTTTCAGATGTTTGTGTCTTGGTATGTTATCATGGTAGCCATGTGCGTGCACTTCTCTAAGCCTGTGCCATGGTGGGGGAGTATCATGTATCTTCAGTAGCCAAACAGTTTCCCACAATGGATATAACAACTTACCCTCCAACTGTAGTTCATGATAGTTTAATTTTTGCACATCTGTACTGATACTGTTTAATTTTCTCCATCTGAGGTGGTTTTAGTTTGCATTTCTATAATTGTAAAATATGTTAAGCATGTTTCATATGCTTATTGAACATTTAGAAATCTCCTATAAATGGCTGTTACTGTCTTTTACCTACTTTTCTATTGGGTTCTCTTTTCTTATTAAAAAATGTTTGGTTACACGTGAGGCAATTATTTTCTCTCCATTGCTTCTCTTTGTGCCCTTTAATGATGTAATTTAATAAATAGAATTTTCGTCTTAATGTAGTGATATTATATTTATGAATATATTAATATTTATGAATATTTTCTTTCTTAATATTGTTTTAAGGCTTTTAAAAGAAGCAATTCTCTTTCCTATAACAACTTCTGAGACTTTTACCATGTGCTTTTATATTTGGGTATTTATTACCTCTGGAAATGATTTATTGTGTGGTACAAAGAAAGGGTACAGTTTTTTGTTTGATCATTGTCCTAGCAGCTTTCATTGGAAAAGATGTCTTTTTTTTTTCTACTTCTCTACATTTCAATACTTGTCATTATCAAGTGTGTAAAATGCAAGAGTCTTTTTAAGGGTTCTCTCTTTAGTTCCACTGGTCTATTTATTCATTTTAGTTCCAGTTCTACACTGTCTGATTACTATAACTTTATAATACATGAGTGTGTGTTTGTTACAATTATATATATTCAATTTCATTTTAAAAAAATATATTTCATTTTGCTGATCCTCGCTATGGCAGGTATATTTTCAATATCTTTGCATTTTGTTCTTTTCTTGTAAGTTTCTTTTTTAAGATTTTCCTTTCCAACCTGAGATTGATGATTAGCTAATAAATTTTTTCTTTTTTATTTTACCTATTTAAGGCTGGATGTTTCATCTTAAGCTAGGCTTTAAATTCATCCAATTTTTAGCAGCTCTATTGAGGTAAAATTGACATACAATAAACTGCATACATTTAGGTATATAATTTTATGATTTGACATAGGTACACACCCATGAGGCCATCACTACAATCAACATAATGAACATATCCATTACCCCCAAAAGTTTCCTCATTCCCCTGTCTAATCCCTCCTTTCTGCTCCTCTTCACCACCCTTTAATAAACTTGCTTATAGTGAGCAGAACATAACAGGAAAAACATCAAAACTATACCAGTCAATAACTGATCACAAAGGGAACACACCGTGTAACCACCACCTAGGTCAAGAAATGGACCCCAGAAAGCCTCTTCAAGCCTCTTCCTCTCAGTATCCCCTCCATTTTCCCTACTGGTAACTGCTATTTTTATATTCCAACTATTACAATTAGAACTTTTTAATAAAATCTACAGGTGTATTTCTGTTCCACCTAGGGGTGGAATTGCTGACTCATAGGGCATGCCTGAGTCATGCTACCAAACCATGGTCCAAAGCGGCTCTACCACTGGACACTGTCCTGAGCAGTGATCAATTCCAGTTGCTCAACTTCTTTGCCAACTCTTGAAAGGTTAGTCTGTTTTTATTTTTTGCTTTTGTTATCACTGTTTTTGTCATTTGGTGAGTTTTTAGTAGTTTCTGCTGGTCTTAATTTTTATTTTTCTAATTACTATTCAGTTTGTACACCTTTTCATATATTTGGCATTTGAATGTCTCCTTTGTGAAGTGCTTATTGAAGTCTCGGCTGTTTTTTCTGTTGGGTTGTTTGGTTGTGCATACTGGCACAGCTCTGTAGAGAGGAACATTGGAGCCCATGCCAGGCCTCTCTTGACCCCTCACTGTGAGGCAGCCTTTGGCTGAGGTGCATATTCTCACCTGATGCTATGTTCACTTAAACTGTAGATCCCTAAGCATTATCATTTTGGGTCCTACGCCTTAGTATCTAGACATAGTGTTGATTTTTCTTTATTGACCGCATTTAGCAAACTTATACTCATTTAACCATTCTGCGGCTTATCTGTAGAATATTTTAGGTTTGTAAAGTACATAATCATAAATTCTTAAGCCTTTATTACCTGTTTTGCTGTCTGCAACTTCCAGTATGAAGGCCAATTGTATTTGACTATATCAGGCATACTTGAATTGTTCCCAACCTGAAATACTGTAAACATTTCATCATAAATATAAACAAAATTACCTTTTATTCCTAGTTTTTCGTGAGTCTTTTAAAAATTATAAGCAGGTGTCGAGTTTTTTCAAAGGCCTTTTATCCATCAGTTGAACCAACCATTTGTTCTTTTTCTTACTGTAGTGAACTAACAGAAGCTGTAAAGTTCCTTCTAATCATGGGCTTAGCTGAATTGCAGCTTCTAAATGTGATGTCTTGTGATGGGGTGATTGCCATGCAGTTCAATATATTTTCTAATCTCCACTTGGTATGAGGGTTATTTTTGTGAGGGCATTGCCAGTTCATATATAACACAGGTGTGATTAACCCCATCTCAGTTAGAAAACTATGTCAAGTTTTAGGCTTATTGCCTCAGGTCTCAGACTAACTAAAGAATTTCCTTCCCCTGCCATGTTCTTCCATTCTCCTATGGAAAACCATGCTGTCCACCCCCTGGGAGCCTGGGCAGGCCTCTCTCCAACCCCACTGTGTCACTGGCCTACCTGGTGGGGGAGCCTGTCAAGAGAAGGAATCTCTTTGTCCTCAATTCAATGTATTTGGACCCAGGAGATGCAGACTTTGATTTTCATCATTGGCCTTAATTGAGTCGATGCATTTTGGTGGATTTGAAACCTGCCTCAGGTGCACACACTTTAATTCCTTGTTGATGACTCCTTGCACACTGAGAATTTCTAACATATTAAGTTCCTGTAAACAACAGTCTTAATTATATGTTTTGTGTCCATGAGAGCTCAAACTACATGCAGCCTCAAATTACATTTCTTTTTCTCAGCTAACCAGTGGGGACTACAGCACAAACTGACTGGTTTGGGACCCTAGCTCATTGATCCTTCTTTAAAAAAAAAAATGTCTGTGTAGTCCAAGCCTATATAATGGAATTGAAACCATCTTAGGGTGGGTTTCAGACACTTTGGGCCCATTGTGAAAGGGTCTCATCCCTGCATCCCTCTGCCTGGGGGCCCAGAACAGCTTGTCAGATCCTACAGATGAAGAGTCCAGAGACCAGGAGGTTGGGGAAACATTTATTGAGCACATGCAGTGCAACTTTGGCCCAGGCCAAGGGTCAGTCAGGCCAAGGCATCACGCAGTCTCAAAGGCCTGGGGGTCTTGGACCTGGCCCCTCCCCAGCACAGACTCAACTGAGGCGAGTTGTGCCAAAATAGCACCTTTATTTCTCGAAGTCCCTTGGGAGAAGGTTGGGGGTGGGGAGTGTCTTCCTGGCCTAAGAGGGCATCACGTCCTACTCAGTGGGAAGCTCAGGGTCTTCCTCTTCATGGACTCCTAGGAACTTGGGACTGGCCTGTGGGTGGACAGGGTCCAAAGTAGGGATCTCCACACATCCCCGTGCCCACACCATTCCTTCCTGCCCCTCCCCACCACCAGCATGCGTCCATGCCTTTGCCTTGGCTGTGTCTCTTCCCCATAGACCATCCCAGAGGATTCCCAGATCCCTCCTTCCCCCAGCCTCCTCCAGGAGCTGTCTCTGCTCCCTGCCACCTGAGTCCCAGGCTCACTGCCTTTCTTGGGCTGGCCCCTTCCTCTTGCTTGCTCTGGCCTTGGGCAGAAACCTGCATCCCATGCTTTTCCAGTTCCTCCTTCAGCCTGGATGGGAAGGGGTGGGGTAGGAGGGTGAGATGGAGGAAGGAAGAGGGGGTGGAGGAGAGACAAAAGGGTGTGAAGAAACACAGAGACAGAAGGGAGAAGCGGTCCCCTCAGCCACCTTCCTACGGAGGGGCTGGGGGACAGGGATTCTGTGCCCACCTCTGTCGCATCTGCTGCAGGTGCTGGCACTTCTGCTGCAGCTGCTGATGGTGCTGGGCAGCAGCTGCCAGGAGCTCCTCAGCCTTCTTGTTCTCCTCCTGGAACAGCTGCCTAGGGGCCCAGTGGCAGGGTCAGCGTAGGCCACTCCTTCCCCCAGCCCCCTCCACCTCCACATCTTACACTGCTGCTGCTGCCTCCTGGCTACGGAGAAAGAGCCCGTCAGCGACGGTGGAGGTGCCCTCAGCCCCGCACAGGGAGCACAGCCGATGCTTCACGTCCTCCAGCTTCACTTTGAGCAACTTCTCTGCAGCATGAGAGGGTGAATGAGTAGGTGAGGACAGGTAGGTCAAATAAGGGCCACCATCCTCCTCTGGCCTCACCTTCTTTGAGTAGCTGCTCCTTACTGCTGTCCAGGGCACAAATCTCCCTCACCAGCCGCTCTGGCTTCTAAGATGGGCAGAAAGGAGGCCAGTCCACACCTCCAGGCTTCCCCCATGCCTCGGAGAAGCCCACCAGGATCCAGCCCACCAGTCATTTACTCACTCACCATGCCTCACTTCCTACTTCTCTGCCCCTTGGTGCACCCAGCCACAGTCTAGACTCAGGGCCTTGTTACTGGCCATTCCCTCTCCCTTATCCCCTCTCACCCTAGATACTCACAGTGCTGTACTGGGTAGGCTCATAGGATTGTTAGTGTTCGGGAATTTTGCAAGCACTGAAATCGGCCATGGAGTGTTTGCAACAGAGAAACCTGCAAATTCTTCAAACCCAGGCTGTTGTCTGGAGAGTGACCAGCACAGCTGCAGCTTTTCCCTTTTGGTGGCCTCACTGACCCCTTCCCTGCTGACATTCATTCTCTTTTTTCTTGTTTGGTGCCTGGAATCCCTTGGGGGCAAACACGGGATGCTTTGATCTGCACTTTCTCCCCTGTGCCTGTGATGATCCCAGATACCCATGGATGTCCTCAGTGGATGCCTTGACCTTTGCTTTGTCAGGTTTCCTCCTAACCACTGACCAGATGGATCAGCAGGGGTTGGGGGACAAGATTGGCAATGAGGACACTGGGTGGCTATGAGAGCACAGACAAGGGACTGGATTCAGGGTGATGGTGACATTAAGACCATCAGGGCTTGCTCAGGAACTGGGTGTGGCAGGTGAGAAGAATGGCCTGAGGATGACCCTGCAGATGGGCCTGGTGCTGGAAGGAAGATGAAGGTGGGAGTAGTAGCTTCAAGTAACTCACATGGAATTCCCAGAGGTCCTTGTGCTGGGCCATCAGATCCTCCAGATGCTCCTCAAAATCCAACCTAGGGACCAACCACACAGGTATGAGGGGCCATGGGCTGAGACCTCCACCACACAGCCTGGCTCAGGATAGGGTCTTCATGCATATACTTGGGGCTCTGCCCATGCTCTGCTCCACTGGGAGCACCTCCACCACCTTAACCCTCCCATGCTCAGCTTGGCCAGCTCCTCCTCTAATGCCCATCCCTGGTAGTGCACCACCCACAGCCCACCTGAGCTCCCCAGGCCTCGGGTGATGGGGTTACCTCAGCTGCCTCTGTTTGTTCTTCTCTTCCTCGATCTTGGAGTTCAGGGCAGAGATTCTCTCCTTGCACTCCTGCAACATGCTGTGCTTCCTGGGAAGGGGCAAGGCAGCCCTCTCAGCTGTGTTCTCTGAATGAGTCCCCAGGAGGGGAAGGGGTAGGTCTTCTGGCTCCCTCTGTTGAGGGCCATTCTCTCCCTCTACACTGAGGTCCTTCTCTGTAGTGTGTGTGTGCTGGGGGGGTGGGGGGATGACGTGAGCACGTGACCCCTGGAAGCATCCTTGTGAGGTTTAGGGATATCAACATGGACATATTCAAGTGCACATGCACACATGTATTAATATCATCTGACCTTCCCAAATACTTCCATCTTCCAGTCTTAGGGTGTGCCAAGGCTTGGGGCTGCTGGTCAAAACATGAGCTAGATAAGCCTTCAGGAAGCAGACAGATGGATGGGGGGGTGGAAGAATAAGGGATGAATGGAGAGAGAATGGACAGGTGGTCAGCTCGATGCCTAAATGAACAGGCAGGTCAGTGAATCTACAGCAAGGAGCCAGGTGAAAAAGAATAAAAGACACATGATAGAATCTGGCTGAAGAAACTGAATGGAGAACAATGTGGCAAATCAGTGGTTATCCCAGTGAGTGAGAGTTACCCTCAGCACTACTGCCGAGGGCAGAAGACACTCTTTGGCCTCTCAATGTAGAGGGAGAGAATAGGAGCTGTGGGCTGAGACACATCTCCCTTCCTCCCTGCTGGGCCAGAATGAAGTGGCAGGCAGAGCCAAGCTTGGCTGCAAGCTCACACCTCTGTGCCTCAGTCTCCTTCTCCTGGCAGTGCAGCCGCAGGATCCTTAGGGTCTCTGCAGGGAGAGAAACAGGGCCCTGTGAGAGTCTGTCTAGCATCGGGTTTGGGCAGAGGGAACAGGACCAGATCATGTCCGGTCAGTGGATACCACCAGTCCAGCAGAAGCCACAGGAGGGACCTCAGCTGCTATAGGGAGAGTGGGCTTCTACAGGGTGGCACAGGCAAAAGCCTGGAGACAGAGGAGCTGCCAATACCTTGTTTTTTGCTCAAGATCTCCTTCAGGCGTACTTTCTCTCCATGCACTGGAAAACACAACATGTTCAGAGATCAGGGACTGCCCAATGAACCTGCAGGGATGGGGCTTGCCCATGGTCACATGAAGGGCTGGGTATAGCCCTGTCCCCAAGCCCAATGTGGACCCCATGAAGTGAGCCCCTCCTCTCTGGTGCCCACTCCCTGAAAGCTCCAAAGGGCCCTGACATTTACAAAGTATGGCTGTGAAGATCCTGTGGGATGCTCATGCTTTTACACAGAGGGGAGAGAAAATGTAAAGACACTGCTTGAAATGGGATAAGGGCTGTGAAGAAATACATCAAGCAAGAAGGGGCATGTGACCAGGTGGGGTAGGGTCTCATCTTCAGATGGGATGACTGGGCACAGCTTCTGTGAGAAGGGGACATTCAAGCTCACAGCTGAATGATGACATGAGGCAAGAAGAACCTGTATTATCTGGGGGGAACACACAGCAGCCTGGCAGAGGCCCTGAGGTGAGAATGTGCTTGGAGGGTGTTTTCAGAACACTTTGACCAGCAGAGGAAACTGGTAGAACATGAGGCTGGAGAGGGGAAGGGCCCTTGGCCCTTTCGAGGAATATTGGAGTACTGGGTTAGGGGATGCTACATGTCTGGAATACTGGGCTGTGGGAGGCTAGAGGCATGTGGGGGCCTCTGGGTGGCCCCTGGCTTGCTTACGTGTGTCCAGTTCCTTCTGCAGGGCCTCCCAGACAGTCCGGGCCTCTCCCAGCTCTTCACTGGCTTTCCTTTTTGCTTCACCAAAGAGCAGAAGGACAGACATTGTGTGAGTACAGCCTACACCCACACTATTCCCTTGCAAACAATGACATTTCACATTTGTCTTCAAACAAACCTAAAGGGGCCCAGATTTTACAGAGCAGGAAATGAGGATTTCAGAGTCCAGGCCCTTCTTGCCAAGCTCAGCTGGCAGCAGAGCCAGGTTCATGGGCATATGACTATGGCAGTTTTATGAAGAAGGGTCCTGTACTTAATTTAATGCTCTGCTGTTGCTGTGGTGAATATCTAGCAGTTCTTGCACCAGGGACCCTGTATTTTCATTTTGCACTGGGCCTGGCAAATCCTGTAGCTGGTTCTGGCTGGCAGCCAGGGTACCTGAGCTCACCTTGCTGAACCTCATTAATCTGGTTAATCAGGACCTCAACCCGGGGCTCCAAGCTTCCTCCTACAGGGAGGAAAAGAGGTTCGTTGCTGACAGAGTAGGCAGAGTAGGGTGGATGCCAGCCTTGTGCCTCTGCTGCTTTTATTCAACACAAATCTACTGAACTCTCCCTGCTAGCAGGTGCTGTGTTGGGGCCCTCATGAAGCTCACATTCTGGTGTGGTCAGGGGGACAAGGAACAGAAAAAAAGAGATGCAAAGTCAAGTTATGGTAACTTTGGTCAAGAGAAATAAAGAAGGGCAAGAAGTTAAAGAGAGAAGGAGTGTTAGAATAAATAAGCTCTGGTGTGCTACTGTGCAGAGAGGTGATTACAATTAACAACATCGTATGGTATATTTTGAAACAAGCTGGTAGAGAGGATTTTGAATTTTCTTACAACAAAGAAACAATAAATGTTTGAAATGATGAAAATGCTAAATGTCCTGATTACATGTATATATATTTGTATCTAAACATCTCACTGTACCCCATAAATATGTACCATTATCATATGTTAATTGAAAAAGAGAAACAAAAAGCACGAAGGAATGGGAAGTGTGAAAGAGTGAAGATGTGGGAAGGCATCTTGAGGGCCCCAAATCAAGTGAGGGGGCAGGCCTTGCAGCTCTTTGGGTGGAGGAGGAAGGCAGTCAGTGCAGAGGCCTGCCCTGAGTGGGAACTGGCTGGGAGGAGCCTGGTAAGCAAGTGAGGAGTAGCAGGAGGTGAGATGGAAGGAAGGCAGGTGAAGGTGAAAACTTCAAGATCTAACGCAGTATAGTGGGAGCCAAAGGGGTGACCAGCAAGGTACTCAGGACGGGGTTTTGGGAAAATATTTTGCTTTCTATCCCCTTATACTTCTTTAATTTAGAACCATTTTTAGTTCAAGGAATTCAATTTTAAAAGAGAAAAAATGGAATTTCCCAAGGTTGTGAATTGTGGGGCCTAGAACTGAACCCACATCTGCCTGACCCCAAACCTCAGGCTAAGCCTCAGATGTAGAGGAGACATGTGACCTTTCTGTAACCTTTTCACCATTTCCACCAAGTCTTCAATTTTCTGTGAGGATGTGTCCGGCCCTGAGGAGACAAAACCAAACATTTCAGAATCCAGTAGGGTGAGAGACCAGAGGAAGGATCTGACTGGCCTAGGCTGGGACTGAGGTGAGCTGAGGGCAGGTCTCCAGCCAGAGTGGTGCCCCAGCTCCTTGTCCTGAGGTGGACAGTACTCGAAAGACAGGTTTCCCCTCCAGACTGAAATGGCAACATAGGTATTCCCTTCATAAAACTCAGGGTGAGGACAGGGGTGTACTCTCACTGCTAATGCTGTTCGAAGTTGGGTGCGTCAAAAGCTGGTAATCTAATAATGCAAGGAAAAAGAAGGGTATAAAAAACTGGAAGTGAGGAGTCGGAAATCACTCTAACTGGCAGGTGGAATAATCAATTATAAAGTTCTAGAGAATCTTACTTAAAACTGCAAGGGCTAATAAGAAAATATAAGATGTCTGGCTAAAACATATATAAATACAAATAGCTTTGCTATATACAATCAGTACTGGTTCTGAAGCCTCTCTGTAAAATAATATTACATATTAACTTTTATAATCATTATAGGCACCTAATTTTACTATTTATGGCATTAACATCACAATAAAGGTAACCAGATATCAGGAGCCACCTGATGTAAAAAGACAATATCACCTATTACATACTCTTGCCAAAAAAATGAAGCTAATACTCATTAAACCTCTAGATCTCAATACAAATTCAGAGGAAATACAGGGATAGAGCAACATGTTCAGTGGCACCTGGGGATGCAATCAGCAAAATTCAGACTGGAAAACTCCATGGGCAAAACAACCCATTTTGTTTAACAAATACATTCCAAAGGTAATAAAAGATAGAAAGACCCTTACAGACTAAAAGGGCTTTAAGAGACATATCAACCAATCTCAATGAATGATCCCTAATTCGTTCTTGATTCAAACAAAAACACAGTAAAAAATATTGATGACAAGTTCAGCAAAATTTGAAAATTAACTAAATATATGAAGTCATTATTGTTGTTATATAGATGTGATGATGGTATTACTTTTCTGAAGAGCACTTATCTTCTAGAGATATACATGGAAATATTTATGGATGATATGTGAGATGCTTTAAAAGGAAATAATAGAGTGTGTCGTAGGAGGGGTGATGATTAAAGAATAAGTCAGATTGTCCAAGAGTTAATCATTGTTAAAGCTAGAGATGGGTTCATGGAGTGATTATATTTTGTTCCCTCCTTTTGCACATGCTTATACTTTTTCATAATGAAAAGTTTTTAAAAATCTTCCAATCACTAAATCAAGATAGAGAAGGTAAACAATCTTTCATTACCACATCAGAGTTGAGAAAAGGAGAGAACAATTAACAGAAAATTATATAAATGGCCAATAAGTATTTGAAAACATGTACTACCTCAGTTATAATTAAAGAAATGCAAATTACCATATTGCACCTAGCAGACTGGTAACACTTGCTAAGTCTGATACTGCCCAGTGTTTGTGACAGTGTGCGGAAACAGGCCCTCATATCTGCTGATACTGAAGAAACTGATGCAATTTTTTAGAAGGCAATTTGGCTATATCAACATTTTGAAGACATAATTCCAATTCTAGAAATTTAACCAGATATCCTTGGTGAAGTATGCAAAAGGCATGTTTGAAGACGAAGCACCTACTAGGAGCTCATCCATGTGTGCTTCCGAAATTCCTGTGCTGAAATCCTAACTCCTAGTGTGATGGTATTGGAGGCAGAGGCCTTTGGGAGGGGATTGAGTTTTGGGGGTAGAGCCCTCAGGAATGGGATCAGTGCCCTTACAAAGGAGAACCAGAGCGCTCCCTAGCGATTTCCACCGTGACAGGACACAGCAGGAGGACGAAAGTCTGCGACCCAGAGAGAGACCCTGCCGCTCACTCACTCTGCCAGCACCTGATCTTGGACGTCCTACCTCCGGAACCGTGAGAAATGAGCTTTTGCGGTTTACAAGCCACTCAGTGTACGGTCATTCCTTACAGAAGCCCGCACTGACTCGCGCACTGGTGAAGCCGATTAGGCTTATTTGAGGAACTTGAAGATGTGACCCAAAAGCATGGCAGTGGCGCTCAATGAAGGGGTATATACGCATCTTTGCGGTCACGTCCTCTCTGTCCTTGGCCCAGGGCCACCACTGGTGGCCACACCCTGCTCCGAGCTCGCTTTTCCGTGCCGAGCTGACTTCGTGTTGGACCCTCCAGTGTTACAGGTGCGCGGTGTGGACCCACCCGCGCTGACGTGGGCGGGTCTGCAGGCTCCGGCGTCTTCGCGGAGGGCCCGGCCGCAGTCCCCGCCTTGTCGCTGGAGCCTGCGGACCGCTCGGCACCTCAGGAGCAGCCTGAAGGGAGACGGCCGGGC